CAATCCTCATACTTTTTTAGTCTTTTTTCTTACTATTGCTCTACCTGGGTATTTCTTTCTACCTTGTCTTCTAGATCACTAATTCAGTCCTCTGCTTCATCCAGCCTGCTTGTAATTCCTTCTAGTTTATTTTTTATTTCAGATACTGTATTCTTCATTTATTTCTGGTTCTTGTTAATAATTTCTAGTTCCTTTTCCATGCTGTTGAAGTTCTACAGCACTTGGAGTGTACAGCTACTTGTAGTCTCCCCTAAGTTCCTTGAGCATCCTTATAACCATTCTTTTGAATTCCATGTCTGATAAATTGCTTGTCTCCATTTCATTTAGCTGTTTTACTGAGGATTCTTCCATTCGTTTCAATTGGGGGTACTTTCTTTGTCTCCCCATTTTTGGGTGGCATTTTTTTGTTTGTTTCTGCATCTCAGGGTGCTCTGCTATGCCTGCCTGTCTTTGTGGAGTCGATTTCTGTGGGAAGAATTCTGTGGGACTCAGAAGTGCAGTGTGCAGTCTTTGATCTCCATGTCTGGATGCTCTAGGGTTGTCATTTCCTCTGTCTGCAGGGTGATTTTTTTGTTATACATGGCCTTTACTTGTTGGTGGCTTCTCTGTTGATGCGTTCTCACTTCCAGCAGACTTACTGGTAGTCACAACTCCTAGCTCGTCTTGTATGCTGTTGTACAGGTGTTGGTTAACAAAGCAGTATTACCAGACAACCAAACCTATGTCAGCAAAAAGAACCCCCCTACCACACCAGCAATATCAACCTCAATTGAGCAAAGATTAATAAAAGTAAAGAGAGATTACAGATAATATAAGATATGACAAAGGGAATATAGATGACTAAAAGTGGGGAAAATGTTATTGAGTGGTAAGAGGAAAGAGAATTGATAGAGTAGAGATAGAACTGAGGTGAAGAAATGGAGAGGACAAAATTTTAAATGTAAGTAAAACACAAAAGAGTGATGAGAACAATGGGGTAAGAAAAGGGAAGAGTATATTATGAGGTATGCACAAAAATTGAAAAGGTATTGGACCAACAGGAGGAAAGTCTCAGAAAAACCACAGCACGGTCAATAGCAATGACAGCCGAATGAAGTTTAATAAAAGTAGAAAGGGAATAAGAATATTGTACAAAAGTGAAAAGTGAATATGAGATGTCTACCATAAAAAAACTGATTTTAAGAGGATGGGGGAAGTAAACTAATAAGAGTAAGGAGTAAATCTCAGGTTTAGACAGGAAGAAAAAAATGAAATAAAATTCTTCACTCAACTGATCAGGAGGAGAGGGAAGGTGAAATAGAGTAAGACATGGGTAGAGTAGTCTATGGGGTTTAAAGTACAAACAAATAGTGAACAAATAGGACTTCCACTGGAGAAGTACAGCAATAACCATGGTATTTTGCCTAACTAGCCACTGTTTATAAAAGGTGGAAAAGAAATAAGACTTATAAGAAGGGAAAAACACATGAAGTAAAAGAAGAAATATTAAAATGTTATATTAAAGGAAGTAAAAAGAGAAGAACAAGAAAAAAAACACACACGTTCTGATGAAGACCAAGGTGGAATTCATCTCAGCTGTTCATATTCTCCTTCTGACTTCCTTCCGGATCCGTCTCTGGTTTTCTGTCAGCTCAGTGTCCTGGGGTGGGTCATCCAACTTCTGGCAACACTGCCTGTGTCTCCTCCCCTGACTCTAGAGGGAGCTTTAGTTTGGATCAAGAGGGTGAAGTCTCTGTGTCTCACCTGGGAGGCACTGTTCAGTCTTCTGGGAAAATTATGGGTGCAGTCCCCCTGCCTTTACACCTTCCATCTTATCTGTCCCAGTTTATTTCCAATTATATACAGTTTCTGCTAAGATAGGTGTCTGTTTCATGAAGGGTTGAGAACAATCTGTGTAAGAGAGTCAACTCTTCCCGCTTGGTGTAGTCTGCAGCTCTGCGTGTGAGCCAAGTCTGGGCAGCACCCAGAATCCCCCTTGTTGCACCCTTTCTTAACTTCCTATTTTGATGACCTCAGTGAAATCAGGCCCTAGGACCCAGTGTACTTTGTCTCCATGTGGAAAATTCAAAATGGACCCTTTTGGGGGTCACTCTTGCTGTCTTACTCTTGCAGAAAAGCCCCCTGCAAGTTGTTAAGCCTTCCAAGCTGGTTTTGCAGATCTTCCCTGCTCCAGTCTGAGTGGAAAGGGTGGGGGCTGGGCTCCTTCTTATCTTTCCAGATGTTCTGCTAAGGAAGGGGGCCCAATCTGGCCTCACTTAATCTCAGGTGCATAGTTCCCAGCCCACTGCACCCACAGCACGCTGCAGCCCACACTCTCTACTCTGCCTTGCTGCTCTAAGCTGGGGCCAAGAAACAACCTCACTTGCACCCCTTCGATCAAACCTCCCAAGAGAACTGATTGGGAGCAGATTGTGTCTACAGTCCTCCCTCCATGTTGCCTCGGCACATGCATGTACTGGGGGTCTGTGCCCAGCACACCTCAGCTCCCCTTTTGAAAAAAGGTCTCTTTAGGGGCTACTCCTGCAGCTCCAAGCCACTGTCCAGCTTTCCATACACTCCAACTCTCTGACAAACCAAGAGTCCATCTCAGTCATGGCCAGTTGTGGCCCTCCTCCTCCACCAGCTCCAGGTGCAGCCAGAATCACCCCACTCTCTGGTACTGTCCCAGTTGGTGTCTGGCACGCCAGCTAAGGTGCACTGCCAACTATGTACATGTATACAACCTGTTTCTCCCCTGACACTCTGAGCATTCAAGTTGCTCCCAGTCTGGATCTGTGGATTCCCCGCCCTGGGAGGGGAGAGAGCTGCTAGGGTGCTATCCCTGATCAGACTCTCCTCGGACATTGTCCTGGCAGCTGCGGTTTCTGGCACTACACCCAGGGACTTTCCCCATCCACCTATAAAACCTCTTTATCACCCATTTTGAAGTGTCCTCTGCACACTTTGGCTTCCAAACATTATATCAGCTAAGATTCTGTTGACTCTTCACTTTCCTTTTCATTACATCAGCTAATGACAAACAAATGGGCTTAGCTCCCACCTACTTTGCTACCATCTTCCTCTCTTGTACCATAATATATTTTAAATACTGATTTATCCTCTTTGTTGGCTTGCTCTCTCCATTGCTGAGACAAATGTTTTTATTTTGTTTTTCTGAATAACAAAAGCTCTGTAAACCCTCACCAACAGCATCTACAAAACCCATAGGGCTTCTCCCATAGTCTCTCTAAGAACCTTCCAAGTCCTACAGCCTTGAGCCAAAAGACATGGCACACATTTGGAGGCTACTATGAATAAAGATGCTATAAATATTCACGTTCAAGTCCTTGTTCAGACAAACATTTTTAATCTCTTTAGTAGAAGTTAGTTAAAGACAAACAAATCTCTTTCTATGTAGTGGCAGCATTCTGGATAACATGGTAAATGTCCCATTTACAAATGTTAACTAACAAATTTTCCTAAAAAAGTCAACAGCTGCAAACAAATAATACATGTCATTTTGCTCATGATTTCCTGGGTCATGAACTTGAGAAAGACTCAATCTGGAAGCTCTATCTTGGGGTATCTTATGTGGTTTCACTTAGATGTCACCTGGGGCTAACTGGAAATCCAGATGACTCCCTTACACAGAAAACACCTGGTAGTTCAGCTTAACAAGGCCACCTGCTTATGGTTTTTCCAACATGACAGTCTCAACAGTGTCAAATTTCCCTTAAAGCAAATGTCCTAATTTCTCTGACCTAGTGCTGAGAATTAAGCAGTGTTGCCTGCCCCGCATTTTGTTGCTTACAAGCAACAAAACCTTGGAAGGTTTGCCAAGATGAAGTGAAAGAGATATGGACCTCATTTCTCAAAGGATGCATTATCAAAGATTTGTGGAAGTGTTTAAAGAATCATCATGGCTGTATTAAATATCCCACTGTGTGCATTTTCTAATTTCCTCTACATTTAGTTTTGTCAATTATTGTTTTATAAATCCAGGACTTCATATACATAAAGGTTAGAACTTTTCACCATGTTTCTGGTTCCCCTTTTAATATTTTTCTATTCTTTGCCTTTCTGTGCTTTCTTCTATGTATTTACTTCTGATCTCCTGTTTACTATTTATACTATGTGCTGATCTAATGTATCATTACACTCACTTTTTTTAATTCTGCCAACTTTTTAAGTCTTGAAGTTTTTATTTGCTTTTTCTAATAACTTCTCTTCCTAGGTATGCATTTTGTCATTTAATTGTATGAGCATTTTAATCATAGCTGTTTAAACTCCTTGTCAGGTAACTCCAAGCTAGATGCCTTGTGAAAATCTTTATAATGTCACCTTTTTCTTCTTGGCTTTCCACAAGATCCTTTTTACATGGAAATTCTTTTAATGACAGACATTGTTGATAAAAATTGTAGAAATCCTTCAGAAAGCATCTTACTTTGCTTCCTTCAGGGACGTGATTTAAGGGTGGGTTGCCTTATTTAAAAGGAAATGCAGTGATTAGAAGCTGAGCATCCATTCCTGTGAGGAATATCTTTAGTTTACTTTGTCTTCTGTGGTACAGGATTCCGGTTAACAAGGATGGCCCTCTGTGGCTCACCCTGAATTATACTTTGTGTTCCCCAAACCCCATGAGTCTGGCAAAATCTCTGCTGAGCTGATCACAGTCTCAGCTATAACTTTTTAATTCACACAGTCCTCAGGGGTAAGTGGCTCACCTCTGCCCTTTCCTTCTTTCTGACAACCCGGCTCCTTAAGTTCTCACTGCCTTCCTAGCTTTACAACACTTTCTAAGAGTACTAATACATTCCGGCTTCCTTCTAAACTCATTTTTCATGCAATGTTTAGCTTAAAAAAGAAATTAAAAAACTTCTTTTTAACTCTCCATAAAGGAGGCAAACTCTCATATTATAACATTGCTGTTACACCTTTCATCTCACACCCCATAGTAACTAGGTTACTATGAAATTCAATTTCCTTTTCTTCAACACTACTCACCCTCTGACTCTTTCCAGGAAACCAGACCCAGGTGCTGCCCCAGTGCGACTCGGTGTCTGAACCAGCAGGCTCTGCAGCCTCAGAGGACAGCGCTGCCAACTGCTCAGGTGAGGGCTCCCACGGGGCCAGAAAACCCTCATCTTTTTTCCTGTGTAAATGCCCCATTTACTCCTCTCTCCTCAGAGAGCAGAGCGCTCCGCCTGGTGGACGGGGGCAGTCGCTGTGCCGGCAGAGTGGAGATCCTCCACCGGGGCGCCTGGGGCACCGTCTGTGATGACGGCTGGGACCTGAACGATGCCCAGGTCGTGTGCAGACAGCTGGGCTGTGGACAAGCCGTCAATGCCACGGTCTCTGCTCACTTCGGGGCAGGATCAGGCCGGATCTGGCTGGATGACGTGAACTGCACAGGAAACGAGTCCCACCTGTGGCAGTGCCCTTCCCGGGGCTGGGGACAGCACAACTGCTGGCACAAGGAGGATGCGGGGGTCATCTGCTCAGGTCAGTGCTGCACATTGTCCATTGGGGGGGAGGAGGTGGGGGCCCTTGAGGATGGGAGTCTGAGCCCTGAGACTGTTGCTGAAAGGGCCAGAGGAGAAGGAAGCTGCCTTCCACAGGGCCTGCCTGTCTAGCAGGTATGACGATTGGTATTTCATTTCCTTCTGCGGCAGCGGGGGCTCCGGTCCTTCCTTCTCAGCAATATCTCCTGACAAAACCATTTTTTTTCAGAGTTTGCATTGAAAGCAGGGATCAGCTGTCAGTTGCTTATGGTAGTATAATCTTGAGACCTGACTGATGCTGTAATGAATTACCATAGGGTTTAAAACAACACAAATTTATTATTGCATAGTTCTGTACATTAGATTAACAACGGGTCTCACTGGGCTCACTTCAAAGTGTCAACAGCCCTGCACTCCTTCTAGAGGCTCTGGGGAAGATTTCCTTTCCCTGCCTTTTCTACTTTCCAAAGCTGGTGTGCATTCCTTCCTGGCCCCATGCTCCCTTTTCTTCCTTCAAGCAACATCGCTTCCCTCTGATCATTCTTCCTTAGCCACATTTTCCTCCGAACTGAAGCTGGGAAAGTTAAGTTGTTTTTAAGAGTGGTGTGTCTATGGATGTGGTCAGACTGAACACACCTGGTGAATGCACAGTATGTCAGGTTAAGCTCACCATCTCAAGGTCTTTATCTTAATACTAACTACAGAGTTCCTTTTGGCATTAAAGGTAACATTTCACAGGTTCCATGAGGCAGCATATAGAAATCTTTGGGAGTCCATTATTCTACCTACCACCCTCTATCCACACTCCCTTCCACATTTTCTGTCAGAAGTCTTGTCAGGAAGCAGGACTTAGCTGCCCTCCTAGCAGAGGGCGCAGGCTGGAGTTCCTCTCTGTTCATGTTCCACTACATCACTGTGGAACATGTGACAGACACAAATGGACAAAGTCAGAGAAAAGGGGCACAAGTTTCAGCCTTGCCATTTAGTGGGTGTCCCCTCAGCAGAGTCAGCGATGAGTGTTCACATCCGCTGGGGGAGAGAAGAAACACAGAGCTTGAATGGACTGCTCACTGTGCCCTGTTTCCACCTTTCATTTTTAGAGTTCCTGGCACTGAGGATGGTGAGCGAGGACCAGGAGTGTGCCGGGTGGCTGGAAGTTTTCTACAATGGGACCTGGGGCAGCATCTGCCACAGCCCCATGGAAGCCATGACCTTGTCCACAATCTGCAGACACCTTAGCTGTGGGGACAGTGGGACCACTGACTATTCTGTCGATTTTAGAGAAGGCTCCAGACCCCGGTGGGTGGATGGAATCCGGTGTCGGAACACTGATATGTCCTTCTGGCAGTGTCCTTCTGACCCTTGGAAATACAGTTCCTGCAGTCTGAAGGAAGAAGTTCATATCACATGTGCAGGTATTCACTGTTTTATGCATCTGTCCCACCCCTGTACGGTGCTGTTAGTGATATTTCTATTTTCAAATCTAAGGGATGACTTTAATGTGAGTGTGCATGATAAAGATGGATGAAGATGATTTAATCCACATGTTGCAATCTGGTTTCAAAAGAAAAAGTAAGAAATCCTGTGCTCATAGCAAGTATTGTGAAAAAATATCAGAGAGACAGGCTAAAACATGTGTGAGTACCATTAATACTTTGATAAAGTTTCTAAGGAATTGCTAACTATGTACAAGTAGTTAATAGATATGCCCAGCACATAATGTAAGTAAGGGGCAAAGCAGAGAAGCAGTCTTGATTGTTTCATCTCTTAAACTCATGATATTTTACTCTGAAATGCATCTATATCACTTAGACTACTTCTCAAGTCAGTCTTCTCATTGATAGTAATTGAGTCCTATAGGTACAAATGTATACTTTAGGTAAGAGGACAGGGAAGAGAAAAATTATAGTCATGGTTCTTATAGCACTTACAATCCAGTGCTGAAATGCTCATGAGGCAGAATTTTTATGAGGGGGATTGTTTGTTTTGTTTTTGAACTTATTGGCTGCCACGTCATGGAGAACTACTAAAACATCAGTGGCTCATTCCCCATATTTTTCTGCTTGAATTTGTCTCTTCTAAGAGGCCCTCAGTATATTGGTCTTTTCTATTGATCCTTCATGTTCTGGGCCTTTCTCACTTACTATTGTGTACTCTCTGCTCCCTCATTCCATTGTCCAAAAATCTTCTGCAGAATTTGAAGCCCATCATCTGCAAATTCTCTTATATCCCCAATTCCACCTTCACTTCTATGTTCAGATAAAAACCTCACTTTTCCTGAAAACACTGATTTTCCTTTCAATTAGAGGCTGTGTATATCTCTTCAACACACTTTGCCCTGGGTTGAGACTTTGAGTAAGTATGCTCCTTGCTCTCAGATGCCATTTTGAACAATTTCTGTTCTGTGTTTCTTCTCAACATCACATCACATTGAAATTAACTATGAGGCAATACCACCTCCTACTTCTGTGTTGCTGTCATCATCCAACTTTCTGCTCATCACCCTACCCCCACCTCTGCCTTGTCCACTGAAGACTGCAGCACCAGGCTCACGGCGTTCTTAGTCTATGTTGCACTCCTGGAACCATGAGTAGTTACTTCAACATACTTAAATACAACTAAGACAACAATCCTGGCCTTTCAGTTTGTTCAATCCCTCGTTTCTAAGCACCTTCCCTTCCATCCAACCTCTGGCTCTGCATATACTACCAGCCATCAGTAACTGTACACCTTGAAATCTTGGTTTCTTTTAATCCATTCTCTGGTCATTGCTTCTTATGCTATGGCTCATTAAACTTTAATGATCTTTTTCCAATAATTTTCATCATCATGGAAATACTGTCTTTCCCCTACTGATTTTTCTTCTTCTCTCATGTTTTCACTTTTTTTTTAGCCACACTAGATAATATGATCCAACATTGTAGTCATTTTCCTTTAGCTACATTCAACTCCCTTGCCTCCTCTTTGCCAGTCTTAACAGACATGCACATGAGAATGGTTGAAGTCAACTACCTAATTACTCTTTGCCTGTACTAGACAAATAAGTCAAGAAGAGAATACACAGCATATTTTTGAGCTCATGGACACAATCTCTAATGGGCATTCCACTCTGTCCTAAAGTTTTATTGTATTTCTCCAATATGTGTGCTTGCCCTATCTTTAAAATTATATTTTACATATGAAGTGTTCTCCTCACACTGTCAAAATGGGGTAAAAAAAGGACAACTATAATTGAACAACAATAAAAACAATTTATTTAAGGACCTGATTCCTACTATCCATTCTCAAAATCATGATCTTGCATCTTACCTCACTGAGAAATTAGAATAGAAACAACTCCTCATCTCCCTTTCAGCACATCTACTGACTTGTAGCCTGTGCACAGGCTCTCTTCTTAGCTCCAACATCAGTGGCCTTACTCCTTTCTCTCAGCATTTTCTCTCAGGGAGTAGATGCTATTCATACTCACCTTGTCATAGACTTCAGATCTTCAATTATGTCCACTTCCTCAGCACCATTGACTTCTCTCTATCCTTTGGTATGGCCTCAAGTCCTCAAGTGTATCACAGCGTAAAAAATAGCTGAACAAACAACATTCTTCCTAAGCCTAGGTTCTTTCCATAGCAACTACCCCAACCCTTCTTTTCTCTACTCCACAGCCATGTTTTTAAAAGTATGCTCATTAATCACTCACTGTATTCACAATTTTGTCTCACATTATTATTTTATTTTTAAAGATTTCATTTATTTTTAGACAGAGTGGAAGGGAGGGAGGAAGAGTGGGAGAGAAACATCAACGTGTGGTTGACTCTCATGTGAACCCTACTGGGACTTGGCCCACAACCCAGGAATGTGCCCTGGCTGGGAATCGAACCTGAGACCCTTTGGTTCGCAGGCCAGCGCTCAATCCAATGAGCCACACCAGCCAGGGCTTACACTATTCTTAACTTATCCGTTTAGTTTTAGGTGTTACCATTCCTCAGAATCAGTAAGAAAATAAAATATAACAAACCTTTCTGTCTTCACTATTCTTGACCTTTCTGCGGCTTTCAACAGGTTGATTTCCCTTTCCTTCTCAATTTTTCTTTTTGCCTTCTGACAATCTCTCTCTCATTAATTGTTCTCTTGCTACTTCATTGATTCTTGCTTTTATTCTTACAGGGTTGCAACCCCTGTTCTGAACCTCTAGCTTTTAGGTACTCTTAGGGCTCATTAGCATACTCTTTCTTCTTCCTTAGCTATACTCCCTGCCTAAGGCCCATGGCCTAAATGACTTGTATATACTGACAGCTAACTGAACAGCTGCTCCTTGTCATTAACACCAAACTCATATTTTCCACTGCTACCTGACATTTTCATTTGAATATTAATGGGTCACTCAAATTATTACAGAAAGTTTTTTTCTTTTAATCTTTATTGTGTTTTTTTCTCATTTATTATCATTTATTCCCTTTAAATCCCCCTCCCCCCATCAGTCACCACACTGTTGTCCATGTCCATGAGTCCTTTTTCCTCTTTGCTCAGTCTTTCACCTCCTACCTCCCCCCATTTAGCTGTCACAAAGCAGGATGTTTTATTCCACCTGCCCAATCCCTGTACCTAAATTTTTCCTCTATATTTTTACTATATTTCTTATTTCAGTTAATGTCACTACCATTACTTAAGCTCCACAGGTAAGAATCAATCTTCATTTCTTTCACTTCCCTTCCCCTCTATTCCAATATAACAGCAAGTTCTGTTGGCTGTCTCTTCAAAGGTACCCTTAATCCTTCTACTCTTTCTATTTTCATTATCATCTTAGTCCAGAAAATAACCTCTTGCCTGGATTAAACAACAGTTGCTAGTTGTCATCTAGGTTCATTCTTTCGCTTCCATATTATATTTTTTTCTCTGTCAGCCACAGACAAGTTTTAAAATTTAGTTCGTATATTTTTTCTTTTCTTTTCTTTTTCTCTTAAGACAACATGGCTTTCTATTGGGCTCAAGATGAAACTCAAATTTCTTATACTGGTTGACAAAGCCACACATATTCCTTCCCCTACCCGCCACTCAACCCTTCTCTCCTATCACCCTTCCATTCAGGGGTATGGTTATTGACCCTCTTTATACAGCATGGGGGAAGTAAGGGAAGGCAAGCTGGCCATCCTTTAATTTGTATTCTTTTACGGGACCAATGGTATTATTCATCTTATGACATTGCGCTTGCTGTTCTGTCTGCTTTGTTTGCCTGGCAATTTCTTATCATTCAGTTCTCACTTTAAATATTATTTCCTTGGTGAGGCCACTCACATCAATTTAAATGATATTACCTCTCCCAAAATTCTTTAGGATATACTCCTGACATTCAGTGCTTATCCCTAAACTCACTGATAGCTTTTCTCAATATCTTTCCTGCACGATTCCAGTTCTTCTACCCAACCAATTTTACATTTCATAGCATATTTTATGGTTCTCATAGTACATATTACTATGTGAAATCATCATCTATTCATTTTTATGTTTATTATGCATCTATCATATTAATTTGATAATTCCATGGGACCAAGGACTTTGACTGACTTTTGTATTCACCACTGTATGTCTAGTGCTGTAATAGTACCTGGCATACAATAGACACTCAAAAAGAGTTTTTGAATAAATTAATAACCTCATTGTGTAGTCAAAATTAAAAAATATTTTCATGGAGGTGTAATGAAAACTAATTGAAAGGGTTTTAAGCTCAGAAGTAAATTAATCAGTTTTGCATCAAGAAAACACCATTTGGCCCTAGCGGGTAGCTCAGTTCATTAGAGTATCATCCCAATACACCAACATTGCAGGTTCAATCCCCAGTCAGGGCACATCCAAAATCAACTGAGAGCATAAATAAGTGGAACAACAAATTGATGTCTCTCTCCCTTTCTCTCCCTCTCTCTCTCTCAAAAATAAATAAAAATAAATAAAAAATAAATAAAAAGAAAACATCTTTTGAGTATAAGACAAACAAAGATTATTGCAGGGGAAATGTATATGCATAATGGTAACTTAAAATAGCTTGGAGGTGTCAAGGCTGACTGCTAAAGATATGGCAGTGCCTTTTATTGATATGAAAAATACAGAAGCCTATGGGAGGAAATCCCAAGGCTCAGTTTGGATACATTAAATTCAAAGTGAATAACCCTCAGGTAGAAATAGATTTGAGAAATAGAAATTGATTTCAGGCAATTTGAGTTTAGGTAGGAAATCTGAGTGGGAGATACAAATTTGGACATTGTCATAGAGATGCTTATATCAGAGTGGATGAGGTCACTAGGAAAATAAACATTCCTAGGACAGAATCCAAGGAACATTAACTTTAAAAACTGGGTAGAGCATTCTACGAACTGATGTGGAGTTTGATGCAGAGCTGACAGAGAAAATGGATCCAGAAAATATTGTGTTTGGAAGCCAGGTTAAAAAAAAGTTTCAAGGAAAGGGGAATAGTCATGTTTTAACACTACTAAGACATTAAGTAAATGAGAACTGAAATGTGCCCATTAAAGTCATTGTATGTCATTGATTGTCTTAACAAGAACTCATTTGAAGGTGGAGTGTTGGGCAGAGGGTGGAAACCAAAAACAAAAATATCAAAGAATAAAGTGATGGTGAAAATGAATATAATACTTATGAGAAACTGTAAAAGGCAGAGATTTGGAAGTAAGGTGCTGGAATGTTGTATCCAGTGCTGGAAATAAATTTCTTTTGATTACCAAGATGATTAATTTGTTGACACAAAGCAGGATGAACTGCTTTAAGAAGTGATAGTAGCACATTTTACTGTCTAGGTACATGTGTGCCATTTGCAAAAACAATTAGAAACCACATCACAGGAAGTCTGTAATGAGGATAATTAGCAGAAATGCCAGAGTAGATGTAGCCTGGTTATTGGCCTCAGACTCTGGGGACTTCAGGGAGGAGACTCACCATGAGCTGCTCCAGGGGGCAGGACAGAAGTCCTGACAAGATAGATGGAAGTTACCAGGAGGCAGGCTTGGATTTATTCTAAGTACAAGTATCATAAGGGACTCTGGCCACTCTAATGGTCCCCAGGAAATGAACACTCTTATATGTTAAAGAACACTGGGGGCAAGTAGGATGGCCCGCCAGCCTTTCCTTGTATCCCTTTTGCTTGTCTCTGTCTCTTCACTGAATCAGCTGCCCTTGCTCCTGCTCAGCGTGCACCAGGCTTGGCTCAGGGGAATTTGTGTTCTTTCCATTAGTTTGGTTTAAGATTAGAAAAAGGCAAATTTACTTCTCTTTCACTTAAATTACAAAAAAATTCCTTACGCACTGTAAGCAGAGATGGTATATAAGATGTAAAAGGAGAATCATATCCTATGACTCCTTGCTCATTCATATCCCCCCTAATATAAAAAAGATTATTGGACTAGGAAGTACCATTTTCTAAATCCATCCATTTTCACTAAAGCATATCCAATCTCATACCCATTAAAGGATTTCTGTGGAGGGTGTTTTATTATTGGTCTTTACAAAATTGAGATTCAATCATACATACTATTGTTAAATTCGTTTTTTAATAATGGGAATTATGGTATTTTTCCATTACCATTTATCCCCCTTATACATTCTTTCTCCCTTACCCTCCTTTTTCTCACCAACAATCACCACACTGTCCTCCAGGTTATTTAAATAACTCATTTAAATAATGGCAAATATTTCATTCATGAGAAGTTGGTACTACTGTTCCTATAACCATTTGTTTATTTATTGGTAGACCAATTATTTTCAATTTTCCCTATACAAATAATTTTTGATAAATATTATTGCCATTTATCTCTATATACTAATGTTTATTGCTATAGGATTACTCCCAATGTTTATATTATTAAATCAAAGGATAAGCAGGTGCACATGCACATAAAGGTTGGGATAAGCTCAAATTATTTTCTCACATTAATTATTTTCAATTGTCTTCTTCATATCTAGATGCTGAGATTTTTCAAGTACTTGACTCTAAAAGTAAAGTCAAATCACATAGAAGCTTCAAAATCAATAAGCTTCCAATGCCCACAAATTTCATTCTATTTGAAGTCTGGATAAGGGTAACAGTTGCTTTGCTTCTCTTCCTTTTTCCTCCTTCCCTTCTCCCTCTTTACTTGCTTCTCTTCTTTCTCTCTCTTCCATCCTTCTTTTGCATTTTCATAATGTTTTCTCTGTGCTCAACATTTTTTCCTGCCTCGTGGTTTGTTCCCCCCCACCACACTACACCCCAGTCAGGTGTACTTTAGACTATACGGTGGGAGTTGCCCCACCCTATTGAAATCCACAACAATGACAAACAGGTATTTTACAGTCAGGGGCTCCCTTCCTTCCTTGTCTCTCTTTCTTCATCTTTATGTTCTTACTCTTCTGAAAGACTGCAGAAATACTAAACTATAAGACCTTATATTGATGATAATTTTCTACAATAACACAATAACTGAGGAGTACTGAGGCTTTCAATCCTGAAGTAATGCCACCCAAGAAAGGTCCTGCCATCACTTTCAGAGATGTCCTCTGCATAGAGCAGGAGGCTTGATATGAGGATATGGAAAGATAAGACCAACTCTGACATGTTACGGCAAGTACTATGTTTATTTCTGTTTTCTTGTGTTGTTTTAAAATTATGTCTATTTTCCTTCATTTCAATTCTTACATGTGTTTTGTTTTGATTTTCTTTATCTTCTTAATATATTTCCTAGTTTTTCTTAATATATTTCTCTGAGTCTCATGGAGACATTTCTGTCTCACTAACTAGCTAGCAATCTATTTTTCTCTAAATTCTACTTGTTCTTGGTCCTTTTTAAAGAATGTACCCTGTCCCAATAGTAATCTTTTTTGCTTGTCTATTTTTTACACTGATAAAATTATAAGGAAAGTTTGTTTTATAATTTCCCTTTAAAAATATAAGTGTAATATTGAATACAAATTACTTGTTTGATTTTGTACTTACTAGCTTTTAATATTCACTATTTATTACCACATATCATTAATATTAACTTATTTCTTTTATTATCTTGCTGACTAGCAAGATTTAAAAGAATTATATTTCACTAGACTTTATTAATTGATTCATTCATCCAGTAAATGGTGATCAAACCTCTCTACACAGCATTTATAGAAGGTTCTCAATGTATGCTTGTTGAATGAATGCATATAAAGTGCCAGGCACTGACTTAATAAGAGAAACACAAGGATGAATAAAACATGCAAGGTCCTCCCTTTAAAGGAGCTTTCATTCAGGGGTATGTGTGTATGTGTATATGTGTTTGTATTTGTAGTGGAATGTGGAGAGTGATAAACAAGTAAACAGATAAAGTAATGTCAGCTGGGGATAGAGGCTACGATCCACTGAATGTCTCAGTAACTCAGGCCATTAGATTAATTATGAGGCCTCTGTTTTCGCTTGTCATTGGACTGAGCCAAGGACTCTAAATAATCTTGTTTTGGGGCAAGGCCACACTAAGTGGTCCCTGATCCAGTGCTTCTCCATTGTCTGCTTCTGCAGGAAAGAGACCCAAGAGCTGTCCCACTGCTGCCCCCTGCACAGGTACGTCTGCCCCTCCCACCTCCCCTGTGGGCTCCCAGGGCCCCTTCCTTCCCACCAGGGGTGGTAACAGGAGGTGCTGCTCCCTTGTCAGACAGAGACAAGCTCCGACTCAGGGATGGAGACACCAAGTGCTCAGGGCGAGTGGAGGTTTGGCACAGTGGCTCCTGGGGCACGGTGTGTGACAACACGTGGAGCTTGGCAGACCCAGAGGTGGTGTGTCAGCAGCTGGGCTATGGCTCTGCCCTGGGAGCCCTGCAGGAGGGGGCGTTTGGCCCGGGAGATGGGCGCGTCTGGCTGGATGAGGTGCAGTGCAGGGGCAGGGAGTCCTCCCTGTGGGCCTGTGCTGCAGACCTCTGGGGGCAGAGCAACTGCGAGCACGAGGAGGACGCTGGAGTGAGGTGCTCTGGTGAGTGGTGGAGCGTGGGTTGGGCTCTGGCTGGGCTGGAGCAGGGGCAGGGCAATGGTTAGTAAGATGGGCACTCTATACTCTGAAAACATCTAAGGGCTGTAGCCTTGGATTAGGAGACTGGGAGCTGTGAGGACTCAATATTGATATTGTGGTAACCAAAGGGAGATATTAGGGCTCAGGTGGGAAAAGGGAGCAACTCTGCGTTCTGGCTAATTCCTATGTTCCAAACTCCTGTTTTTCTCTCTAGGTAAAAGATCAATGTTGCCAAGCACTACAGCAGGTAGAACGCCACCAACCATGGGTGTGAGAGAATGTCCAAATTATTGGGACATGTTCTGTAGAATTTCTGACAGATTTAGCCAACCCAGGAAAGAAAAGACCAAAGGAGCAACTGGTGGGGGGTTATTAGTTCCTCGAAGAAGCTTTCCCTTCCTTGGTTCACTGTGTCAGAAGTTTCTCATGCCCTCAAACCATTAGTAGCTGGCTCTAAGGATGTCTTCACTTGCCCATGATTGCTGCTCCTCAGCAGCCTACAGCTACACCAAGATTGTCTGATACTCTAGTCTAGTGAAGCCCAAGAGAAGGGGCTGAAGCTGTACCCTGGTCCTCAGGGGCTGTTGTACTTATGAGATGCCTGAAAACCCCCAGCACTCCTGTGAATCATGCTGGAGTGGAGCTGAATATATCTTAGGACATAGTATGGGACACAGCCCATCAGGGTGGCAGTCAATCCCATTATGTTGGAAGCTGGGACTTCACTGTCCTGAGCTCTCTGGAAACATTGGTGTAAGTGAGATTCCCTGTCATGTACTCTTCTCCAAATTCTCTAGGCCTTGTTCTTTTTAGGGACCAGATCTGGCCCAAGTCCTGACCCTGGCATCTTCTCCCTGTCTGGGATCCTTTACCTCATCGTAGGAGCCCTTCTCTTCCTGGTCTTCATCATCCTGGTGATTCGGCTGCACAGATGGAGAGTGGAACACAGAGGTGGGCTGCAGGAGCTACTGGACAACATGGAAAGTGTGTGGAGGCAGGAAATAAGGCCAGGGGTGTCAAGGGGAAAACTGGGCAAGGTATCTCTTCTTTTACCCCATTAGTTTACAAAGTCCATCTGCCCCTAGTTAGCCTCTAAGAGAGTAGGATGTGAGCACTCAGAAGTCATGGCTTTTTATGTGAGACAGGAAAGAGTAGGAGCTGAGCTTTGGACATGGGGTCACACAAAAGTAGTAGGTGCAGACATGGTGCAGATGTATGACTATAGAGGGGTCCTGGAAGCCGTGAGTGTTTTTCCACATGTGAGCACAATAAAGAATCAGACTGTTGGTTCAGTGCTGTGTCAGGGGGTAACATCTGACCTGTTGGTGGTTTTCTCAGCCTTGTCCAGCTTCGAAGATGCTCTTGACCAGGCCTTGTATGAGGAGATTGATTATATTTTAACACCAAAGAAAGAGGATCTACTGAGCAGCCCAGGTGAGTGTCCCTGCCTTGCCCTCCTGGGGCCTCTACTTCTCAGCCATCCACTGGCTGTGAGCCAGGTCTGCTTAGCATCTGCAGGCCCCACGTATACCCCAGGCTCACAGAGGCAGGAGGAACCTCTCCAGAGCCCCTGTGAGCTCCAAGCCTTCCCCTGACACCACTAGAACCATGCTAACCCAGCATTTCTTCTCAGCCTTCCTGTGGAGACTCTGGGTGTGGAAAGTGTTTTCTGTTTGTTTTTGTCATGTTTTTCTCTGCTTTAGAATCCCTGTCAGATGACTCGGTGACAAAACTGCCATATTACACCAGGGATGGTGAGTAGAACAGTGACTATAAATCTGCTCTAGGTAGTACAGGTGGATCTGTCTTGGCTGCCTAATAGAGACAAGGGAACTTACCCTTCAGAAAAGAGAGCCAGGGGGAAGAGTCTCCCCTTGACTGAGATGAAAGGGTTCCCTTGCCTCACTGGGTTCAAGTCTCCCTCTTTTTCAGTGACTCTGCAATGCGCCATTCTGGGACCAGCCTCTCAGTGTCGAGAACCACCCTTATTCAGCCACAGCAGCAAAAATTGTTATAAAAAAATAACATCTGGAAGGATAGCATGATCAAATATTTTAGTAATGGTCCTTGATATGTGAATTGCTTTGAGGAGAATTTAGTTTTAATCAAGAAATATTGAGATATTTGGATCATTTGTCAATTTATTGTCACATAGAAATGAAGTGCATGGCCTTGGAACACCCATTAAAGCATGAGGTGAATGATGACTCTGATTAGCAGCCATCAGAATCTCTGGGTCAGAAAGGACTGCAGGTATTATCTAAACCAACTCATTCACTGTGCTTTCACCTGATCCCTTTCTCTGCTCTTAGAAGCCCCAGCACAGAGGACTGATGCCTTTAGCGACAATTACGATGATGCAGAAGACGTACCAATGTCCAAGGCTCCTTCTTCCTCTCAGATGGGTGAGCAGGAAGTGTCCGCAGAAGAGAATGGGGTGAGAGCTTCTCAGACAGGTGAGTGGGATTAGGTGATACCTGTCATATCTTGTCTCTGGCCTGGACAGGATGAATTTGAAAGTCTTAGTGGCCATTCTTGTTGTAGATTCAAACTTTGGATGTCCTCATATGTTTGATAGCATCACTTAGACCATATGACTTCTTCTACCTTTCAGGTTCCCTTGGACAGTGGAAGCACTCTGTAGTCTCAGTAACTGTTTTTCCATAACTTTATGCTTTTTTTCTTTTAAATATTGTATTATTTATTCTACTATAATTGTCCCAATTTCCCCCCTTTGCCCTTCTCCACCCAGCCAATGCTTCATTCTCAGTCAGTCCCGGCCCTGCTGTCCATGTCCATGGGTCATTCATTATGTTCATTGACTAATCCCTTCACCTTCTCTCAACCAGCCCCCTTCTCCCTCCTCTCTTGCAGCTGTCAGTGTGTTGCATACTTTCTATGCCTCTGCCTCTATTTTGCTCATTAGTTTCTGTTTTTCATTAGATTCCACTTTTCAGTCAGATTATATGGTAATTTTATTTCATTAACTGGTGTATTTCACTTAGCATAATTGTTTCCAGGTCCATCTATGCTGTTGCAAAAGGTAAGAAGCTCTTTTTTTTTTACTGCTTTATAGTATTCCATTGTGTAAATATACCTCTTGCCCAAGCCCAAAACCGGGTCTGAACTCACAACACAGGCATATGCACTGATCAGGAATTGAATCCATGACCTTTCAATTTTCATGATGGTGTCCAATTTACTGAGTCACACAAGCCAGGGAAGTTATCAAATCCTTTTAAATTCAGACTTTCATCTCCATCACTTCATCTCAATTCTTCAGGACATTGTCAGTTCTTGTTTCTCTAATTATAAAGCCTTCTAAACAAATTACATCAATTCATCTATTTTTATTGAAAGTTAGTAGAGAACAAATTGTCACTGGCCCACAGACATGATCTAAGTGGACAAGAAAGCAAAAAATAGGAGACCTAGACGGAGGAGATCCAGAAGGAGTATACACAGAAGAATCAGGAACTCTTGACTATATGAGTTTTATGGTTATAGAGATAGAGTCATCAAAATCCATGCAACGTACAATGCATATGACAGCAGTAGCACTAGGCATAGGAGTAATAGAAACATATTGTTGTACAGTTCTTACATACTTTACCTGATGTAGTACAGAATTACTTCACAGGAGACTGTGATAAGACAGTGAGGCATGTTCTAATTTCTAGAGGAACCACTAAAAATTGATGCAAAGACATATAGCTAAAAAGCCAGTAGAAGAGACAAACCAGAATATTACATATCTTCAAGTAACTAAAAAGAAGGCAGGAAAAATGAACAAAAGAGAGATAGAACTAATAGAAAATGGAGAGCAAACTGGTAGCGCTAAACCCAACCATATTTTAATATTAGGTGTGAATGGACCAAATAGTGCAATTAAAAGGCATAAGTTGACTACTGCACATCAATTAGAGTAGCTCAAATGAGCAATAGTGCTCATATCAAATGGTGATGAAAATGCAAAGAAACTGGTTCTCTCATACATTGATGGTTGGAATGTAGTCACTTTGACGATGTCTTCATACTAAACATGCACTTACCGTGTGCTGTATCCACTAAATGGTTGGCCATTTATTCCAGAGAAATAAAAATTTATGTTCTGGAAAAACCTGTACACAAATTTTCTTAGCAGTTTTGTTTGTAATAACAAAATACTGGAAACCACCCAAATTTGTCCTCAATGTCTCCATGGTTGAACAAACTGATATATCCGTACCATGGAATACATTTCTGCAAGAAAAAGGAATGAACTACTAATACATACAACAACCACAATGGGCTTACAGAATATTATGCTTAGTGAAAAGAGTTGCAGAAACATTACATACAAATGTTATATTATTCTATTTATATAATGTTATTAAAATGACAAAACTATACAGATTGAAAACAGATTATCAGTTTCCAGGTGATAGGGAGAAGGGTGAGGTGGGGTGGGACATGAATGTGAATACAAAGAAGTAGCATAAGGACTCCTTTTGTGGATATTGACTAGTTATATATTCTGGTTTTGGTCATGTTAGACTTTTTTGTATTCCATATAACTTTTCAAGTTTAATTTTTAACACTTCCATGAAAGTATTAAAACTCATACTTTACCCTTATTAATAGAGGGGATTGCTGGGTAGTAAAATGTAATACTAAACTTCTCTGTTGTTTATATCGACAAATGTAAATAACTTTTTTTTTTTTTTTACTTCTTTGCTTGTTTCTTCCACCACTTACTGATTCCATAGTGCTGAGTGGGTTTCCTATTTTATTTACATAACCTTTCACATTTTCTCAATGAATATGAGCTTTAACTTTTGGACACCCACAAATAACCACCTCCTTTGTGGTCATTCAGAACCCGAACTTAACTCTCCACTTAGCAAGCTTATTTCTCTGTAGTCCCTCTAGTCTTTTCACTCTGTCACATCACATAACCTTCACAGCCTCTTGTGAATGGTACTAGGCATTTATTTCTGTATGGTTCTTCCCTTGATGGATAGAGGGTGGAGGTGCAAGAATGTTATCCTGCAGATCTTCAGTTTATTTCTTTTGCTCTAATTTGGATATTGATTTAGATTTATAAATCATATTCCTGGGTTTATATCTAAATGAAAAAAATAAGTTTCCCAGTTGTTCCAGATCCATCTATCCAACTCTGGCCCAGAGCTGACACTGGGTTTAATGGGTTGATATACACAACTATATCAGAAGAGGTAGTGACAGGAAAATAGTCCTCACACAAAGGTTCATGCAATATCATTCATCAAACTCTCTTTAGGTCAAGAGGATCTTCAGGATCTCAATGACACAACTTCTCTTTGCTTTATGCTGCTCTTCAGAGTCTGATTCTGACTTACTAAACAGGTCTTACTTCTCTTTCAATCTTTTTTTTTATTATTGTTCAATTACAGTTGTCCCCATTTTCTCCCATTACTCTCTCTTGCAATACTCACACCCCACCTCCCACATTCCATTCCCGTACCTTGTCTTGGTCCTTGGGTCTTCTATACATGTTCCTTGACTTGACGCATTCTGTTTTTTCCTCCATTACCCCTTTCTCCTTTCCCTCTTGTTACCATAGCTTTGTTCTTTTTTCCCTGTCTCTGGCTCTATTTTGCTCAGTTGTTGTATTGCTGATTAGGTTTTTCTTATAGGTTAGATCATATGGTATTTGTACTTCACTGCCTGGCTTATTTCACTTAGCATAATATTCTCCAGATCCATCCATGCTGTCATGAAGGGTAGGATTTCCTTCTTTCTTTCTGCTGCATAGTATTCCATTGTGTAAATGTACCACGGTTTTTTGATCCATTCATTTATTGATGGGCACTTAGGCTGTTTCCAGCGTTTAGAGATTGTAAACAGTGCTTCTATGAACATCGGGGTGCATAAGTTCTTTGGAATTGGTGTTTCTGTATTCTTATGGGATAATCCCAGCAGTGGAATTGCCATGTCAAAAGGGAGTTCCGTTTTAAGTTTTTTGAGGAAATTCCATACAGTTTTCCACAGTGGCTGCACCAGTCCACATTCCCACCACCAGTGCACTAGGGTTTCCTTTTCTTCACAGCCACCCCAGCACTTGTTGTTTGCTGTTTGTTGTTTGTTAATGATGGCCATTCTAACCAGTGTGAAGTGGTATCTCATTGTGGTTTTAATTTTCATCTCTCTGATGGCTAGCGATGCTGAGCATCAATTCATATGTCTCTGGGCCTTTGTATGTCCTCCTTAGAGAAGTGTCTGTTCAAGTCCTTTGCCCACTTTTTAGTTGAGCTATTTGTCTTCCTGGAGTGGAGTTGTGTGAGTTCTTTATATCTTTTGGAGACCAAACCATTGTCCAAGGTCTCATTGGCAAATATATTTTCCCATACAGTTGTTTCCCTTTTCATTTTGCTGATGTTTTCTTTAGCCATGCAAAAGCTTTTAAATTTGATGCAGTTCCATTTAGTTATTATTCTCTTTATATCCCTTGCTCTAGGGGACATATCAGTGAAAATATTACTGCATGGAATATCTGAAATTTTCCTTTCAATCTTATTTCCTTTCAGTGGAAGCTTAGTCTTCTTTAACTAGAAAATTTATTCAATGTAGTGTACTTAGGACAGTTATTGAGGGATAAAACTCAGATTTGTTCTGGAGAATTATATCACTTAGAGCCAGTCAAACTTTTCTAGCAGGAAATGCAAAAAGGTGAAAAATGATGTGCAAAACAGCTGGGACTATCAATTAATGAACTTGTTGTAGTGCTCATTTGATGATTGACTGAAGTCAGAAATTCTAAAACTTATTGTTGGTTAGCTATAGTGAATATTGCTTCAGTTTGTCCCTGTGTTTGAAATATGTGGCACACAGGGACACAATCAAGTCTAGTTTTACCATTTCTGGAAAAAGGAATTATGATAACAGGGGTCAGAAAACACTCATTCAAGACATGCACCTATTAAAAGTGGTAATAAACCAAAGAAATATATTCTCTGCAATGAGAAACTTACTCACTTTTTAAATATGTTATCTTGGGAGTACAAAGCAAATAATATATAGATATTATCCATAAGGACTCTTTCTCATTTAGTATTCAATGATTACCCTAAACCAGTTTAACTTATTGAACTGGCATGAGTAAAAATGAAAACTTATTTAAAATTGGGAGAGATGAGGGAAAAAAAGTTAAAGCCTGCTGAGTTTAAAAGTCTGTTTCAGAGAAGAGAAATATGTATAAGACACAAAGTTTCTAAACAACCCAATGGTTTAGGCAATGCTAAGCAGTAAAACATTGCTTGTTCCTAAAATAACTGTAGGCAACTATCTACGAGGATAAAGATAGAGAGCTGTACATGTGGACAGCCTCATAGGCTATGGTTTTGAGCTTTCTAATGCAGCGTACTGTTTCCCAATTTTTGGTTTCAGGGAGTACATGGAGGGTTTTGGAGAAAACAAATATACCTATAGTTTGTGA